CCCGCCTGGAGCCTAGAAGATGATTGGGGAGAGGAGATGGCAGAAGTTCTTCCAATTCCTAACTACAAGCAGATGTAACAGTTTGCCGAAGACTAAACAGGGTGGGAGGTGATCACGCTGAGACGGATTCGAACTCGGGGGGAGATGGGGTTTGGAAGATATTTTTTTTTTTTTTTTTGCATCAGATTTTAATTGCGTATGCAGCTATCTAGCTATGACACAATATCAGAGAAGTGTATGATAGATGACTCAATTAACAAGAAGAGCACTCATGCCTCGGATTTCATTTGCAAGTACCACTGCGAAGTTATGGTGGCTTTTTCTTCACCCCAAGTCAACCCTCATCCGTGAATACCCACCCAGGGGAACATCTCAAAAACCCTGGGTTATCCAGACATGCCTCCATCATCTTTCAACTTTTCTCCGCGCGATATGTGATCTGAGGTGTCTCCTTCCCAAGTGGAGTAGGTGCCCAGGCTACTCAAACTATACCAGAGAACACCACCAGGAGGCGGACCACAACACCTTCCATCGTTTGCTTGTTTTTATAGTGTCAACTGCACTCTCGCAAGCGAAGTCTTGGCGCTCACAAAGCCCAATTCGAAAAACTCCTTGCCAAAATTCAGAATTTCACGCCCGTCGAGGTTTTATCCTTCCTTCGTATCATCATGTCGACTTATCCTGATTCCTCTCAAGTCCATCTCAAATAACTATCTCCCAGATTTGTGCGCCACGCTTTGCTTCCTCCGTCGGGTATAAATATCGGCGTGGGCGTGTATTTGGCGGTCAACTGAGGCCAGAGAAGGTCGAAGAGCGGTGTGGTCATCGGGATGAGGATGTACTTGGTCGTACTTGTAGACTTGATGAGACGAAGATAGGAGTCAAACTCGTTGGGAGCGAAATAACGACGTGGATAAGTAACTTGGATTTTTGCCTCGTGGGCCAACTTCTTTGATATTGCGAAATTTGACTGAACTTGGCTTTGGGAGAATATTTCACTCCCAGGTTCGTAGAGGACACCGCGTACAGGTGTTCAGTCTTGCCCTCCGGGTTTGGAAGATAGGGATGCGGCGAAGGGCACTTTTTATTTTTAATCGCTTCTGGCTTTAATGCCGGTCATGTCGGTAGGAATGAGCTCTCAGAGCCCAACTACCTTTTTCACGTCTAAAAAGACATTAGATCCTTCCTGTCACGTTAAAATTTTCAATTGCAATCTCAAATTTCAAATTGAACAGCATTGTACGCGCTAAGTTTATTACATTCCAGCCACAAACGACATATGAGTTAGAATGAAGGCTGGACGGTGCAATGGTACATCATTCGGATCGGCCATCTTAGTTTTTGGATAGCTTGGTTTCCTGAACCATATGGGAAGGAGAAGCCCGGGACTGTATTTTACGCAGAGACTATCCAATGTATGATAGAGGCTCATCAATATGACCGAGAGTTTTTGATAATTTACCTAGATTGAGTATTCACGAATGAGGGCTAAATTGGGATGAAAAGAAAGCCATTAAAACTTCGGTCAGTACTGGCAAATGAAACCCGAAGCACTAGTACTCTATGTTTAAGTTGGAACATTTATTCTGTTATTTTTTCTTTCATCGTGTTATAGCTATATAGTGGCATAAACCATGAAAAATATGATTTAAAATTAAGCATTGCGATCTCGTGGCCCATAATATTCCAAAAGAGTGGGTCTTAATTCAATTTTCTAGGAAATTTCTTTAATTTCTACTGTGCCCTTGACTTGGGGCCTAGAGAATCTTTGCTTGCAGTAATACTGACGAGTTTTGGATTAGAGTTTTTTTTTTGCATCAGATTTTAATTGCGTATGCAGCTATCTAGCTATGACTCAATATCAGAGAAGTGTATACTAGATGACTCAATTAACAAGAAGAGCACTCATGCCTCGGATTTCATTTGCAGGTACCACTGCGAAGTTATGGTGGCTTTTTCTTCACCCCAAATCAACCCTCATCCGTGAATACCCACCCAGGGGAACGTCTCAAAAACCCTGGATTATCCAGATATGCCTCCATCATCTTTCAACTTTTCTCCGCGCGATATGTGATCTGAGGTGCCTCTTTCCCAAATGGAGTAGGTGACCAGGCTACTCAAACCATACCAGAGAACATCACCAGGAGGCGAACCATAACACCTTCCATCGTTTGCTTTTTTTTTTTTTTTTTTTTTGCATCAGATTTTAATTGCGTATGCAGCTATCTAGCTATGACACAATATCAGAGAAAAGTACAGAAAGGATGACTCAGTTTATAATAGGAGCACTCATGCCTCGGATTTCATTTGCAAGTACCACTGCGAAGTTATGGTGGCTTTTTCTTCACCCCAAGTCAACCCTCATCCGTGAATACCCACCCAGGGGAACGTCTCAAAAACCCTGAGTTACCCAGACATGCCTCTGTCATCCATCAAATTTTCTCCGCGCGAAATGTAATCTGAGATGTCTCCTTCCCAAGTGGAGTAGGTGCCCAGGCTACTCAAACTATACCAGAGAACACCGCCAGGAGGTGGACCACAACACCTTCCATCGTTTGCTTGTTTTTATAGTGTCAACTGCACTCTCGCAAGCGAAGTCTTGGCGCGCACAAAGCCCAATTCGAAAAACTCCTTGCCAAAATTCGGAATCTCATGCCCTTCGAGGTTATATCCGTCCTTCGCATCATCTTGTCAACTTGTCCAGATCCCTCTCACATCCATCCCAAAGAACTGTCTCCCAGATTTGTGCGCCACGCCTTGCATCCTCCGGCGGGTATAAATATCGGCGTGGGCGTGTATTTGGTGACCAGCTGAGGCCAGAGAAGGTCGAAGAGTGGTGTGGTCATTGGAATGAGGATGTACTTGGTCGTACTTGTAGACTCGATGAGACGAAGATAGGGGTCAAACTCGTTGGGAGCGAAATAACGAAGTGGATGAGTAATTTGGATTTTTGCCTCGTGGGCCAACTTCTTTGATATTGCGAAATTTGACTGAACTTGGCTCTGGGAGAATATTTCACTCCCAGGTTCGTAGAGGACACCGCGTACAGGTGTTCAGTCTTGCCCTCCCCATCGTTTGCTTGTTTTTATAGTGTCAGCTGCACTCTCGCAAGCGAAGCCTTGGCGGTCACGAAGCTCAATTCGTAAAACTCTCGCCAAAATTCGGAATTTCACGCCCGTCGAGAATGTATCCCTCTTCTGCATCATCTTGTAAACTTGTCCTGATCCCTCCCACGTCCATCCCAAAGAACTGTCTCACAGATTTGTGCTCCACGCTTTGCTTCCTCCGGCGGGTGTAAATATCGGCGTGGGCGTGTATTTGGTGACCGGCTGAGGCCAGAGAAAGTTGACGAGAGGTGTGGTCATTGAAATGAGGATGTACTAGGTCGTACTTGTAAACTTGATGAAGCTTAGTTGAGAATCGGACTCTTTGGGAGTGAAAGATTGACATGGTGGAGTAATTTGAAATTTTGCCTCGTGGGCCAACTTCTTTGATATTGCGAAATTTGACTGAACTTGGCTCTGAGAGAATATTTCACTCCCAGGTTCGTAGAGGACACCACGTACAAGTGTTCAGTCTTGCCCTCCTTTTTGGTCTTCCCTGGCGGACAGGATTAGAGTTTGTTAATCTTACGCTACGAAGGAGTAAGTGCATAGCCAGATGAAGTACTCAACGTGCCAGAATTTAGAAGAGTCTAGCATATCACTTGACAGCCGGGTCTCTGCTGCCACAAACTCTATAGCTCAAATGATACACTGACATGCCTGCACGCATGAGTTCATGAAACAGATGCGCAAAGTACAAGGGGTAATTCTGATCATCGCGTATCACGTGATTACATGAATGAATCGGAGCGGGAGAAGAAATATTAGTTCAAGCACGAATTGTGACACTTGGAGGTGGCGCACGGAAGATGATGGTGGATGGGCGTGGCTTAAGCTATCAGTGGTCGATCCAAGCATTTGTAGCTCCGCCATGGCTCCGTGAATACCATTAGCCTCGCACCACGTGAGTCTAATTGCCCTCAACTGGTCGAACTCTGAGTGCCCGTCAGGATGCTAAATTTTAGATGAATTGGATGATACAAGACTATCGAGATGAAGCCGTTGAAAACTTTGACAAATAATCATGTAGCAACTCTGTATCTTACTTTCCATAACCACATTCCCAGCATGTAGGTGAGAAGTTTTTCAAGACAATTTCTGCAAATTGGGCTTTCTACTGAATAACTATCAGTAGCTTTCCGTGTTAATCATCTTGTAGCCGGCTTCTTAGTAAACTAAAGCTTTTAAATTCGGGGAAAAGTGGATAGCTAAATGTTCATTTCTCGCGCGCTTGTATGTTAGCTCTAGCTGAGCAATTTTGATTGTGTGAAGAAGGGTTTATCACAATCTGAATTTTTCCAAATCAAAAAACTACAAAGTAAAATGAGGGATCAAATCCCTCCAAACTTTCGTTCAGGCAGTCCATAGTTTCATGACGTCAGGGCTAGCTTGTATCCGATATTCTTGCTCAACCTTTGCACTGCGCAGTCTCAGATATTCAAGGACCAAGGCATAAACGATACGCTTCTTGAGAAAACTATGATCAACCATTAAGCTCCGGTAAGGCCCTCCTGCTTCCCATCCCGACCGACCCACCACTTCCGAGCGCGACCTGCAGTAGAATTCTCCATCTAGCAGGGATATCCACAGCACTAGGTATCCACTCTCAGTTTGAAACTTGGTTGTGCATGTAGTCAATAGACTACTCTTCTCATACTCCGACGGAAGATCCAGGCTATCCAGTCTAGTAACTAAAAGCATCAGGGGATCGAGGAAGATCAATCTTCAAAAACGAGACTGTCGGGCCTTCATGACACCTCATAACCCCTTGGATGGGAGACAAATCTCTTACACTCCCTTTGTCAACCTGTAACGCTGCCACAATCCCGCTGAATTTCTAGCCGTAAAAATGGCTGCATTTCCTCTCATCCACCATCAACATTCTAGTGAAAAAAAATGCACGACGCACTGGTACCCCGAAGGTTTGTTGTTTTTGCAGCAATAATTTTGACAATCATCGTATTCTTCTCCTCCAGCAATGATATTTCACCTCGAGAATTTGTTTGGGGGGTCTACAACCATGGGTGGAATCCAAATTCAAAGCCAGACGTGTTCAATTCTCTACCAGTCGACTCGCAGGCGATTCGGAATATCTGCTCGGCATCAAACTGGAATAGTTCATTAATATTCACCTGTGATAACAATCGCGGTGGCGTGGCAAACGTGCGCAATTCCATTCTGAATTGCGTCAGATTAACAATTGCTGCTGGAGGTAGTCTCGTGCTCCCACAAATCTATCTGCGAGAATTAAATGATGGTATGGGAAGCAACACAGATATCAACCGGAGAGGTCTACTCAAACAACAAGGCATGGACTACATGTTTGACCTGAACCATTTTTCGAGCTCTTTGCGGCAATCTTGCCCCGAGTTGCTTCTTATCAGACATTTGGATCAAAAACCTGATCAAAGAAGACACTGGCTCCAGCCCGAGAACCTCTTTCCAAATATTCCAACCAGTGGCTTTGAACACCCAGAAGAGTGGCCGCGACGTCTAAATGATTGGCTGGAGATTAATATACCTCCTCCTTCCACTCCTGATGCCAAAGAACCTATTGTTATCGATCTCGGCCAGTCTTTCCTACATTATCCAACCCACTCAGATGGTCATGCTGTCGCACATATCTTTGGAAATATCCTGAAATTTCGTGCTGATATCCGCGAACTCGCAACCAAAGCACTTAATACACTTGTTGAGTGGTATGAGCTACCCGTTAATATCTCACATGCTGGCATCCTTAAACCATCTTTTCTTGGCGTTCACCTCAATACCAACGATCCATTGCTCGAAGAGCGTCACCGACCAGATATTCAATATTCACATTATGAGACTCAATCACAGGCTTACTTGAAACTATCATATGATATGAACTTACCAATTATTTATGTAGCCTCGGGAAATATAGATGATGTTCAGAAATTTAACGATAAAGCAATTGGGCCTAGTATTGCTGTAACATACAAAGAACACCTCCTAGAAGAGAAAGATCACCAACAATTACAACGGCTCACCTATGATCAGCGTGCTATGGTTGACTATTTGGTTTTGAGTAAGGCCGAAGCCTTTGCAGGAGTAGGTCATAGCCCATTCAGCTGGAATGTAGCTATGACAAGAGAGCAACTAGGTGCGGTTATGGAAGGCCAATTGGCAGATGATATATGGAAAGATGGCATGAATACACTTTTTGGGGTTCGGCCAGACTATGTTGAGAGTAGTGCTTGTATGTGGCCATGATGAATCCTTTACAAAATAAAATATATAATTGGCGTATGGCGGATTTCCTTACAAACTAACCTATAGTTAATTTTGATTAATATCACTACAAAAACTTTCATTAACCCTCGTCTATAAATCATGCTTAGAAGGTTTTAGCCATTTTGATTTAAGATTTCAACCAAGATTTAAGGTCAGCTAAACGCATGTTCGTTTTTCTTATTCTCTAGACGCCGAGAAGACCCGTAAAGGAGTCCTGGTGTCTTATATTTTGGAAGAGAGATTAGTTTGCATTAAAGGAGTAACATGACCGCTCTTAAGTAAAAAAATTTGAATTGAATGATATGCGTGAGCGTTTATAGAAAGGTAAGATATAAGACTCGGTCATGAATTCAAGTTTGATAATGGAGAGAGAGAGATGTATATTTATTGTACCACTTCAGTTTTAGACTATCCAGCACATTGGGCTTCTCTCTAACCCATATCACACCTTGTACAGTGCTCCTTGCTCTTCATGTTTCTCGGAAGATCATTGATATATTGCTCTTGACGAATAGCCATTCAGCTCAGTATTTACCCGTAGAATTCGGCTACTTTTTCCACAGAACCGTCTACCCAAAAAAATGGTAGCAATGCAGACTGGGTGCGCGGGAAAAAGTCTCAAAAAACCTGCTGCCCCAGCCAGACGAGACCTAGACACCGGGGCTACATGAGGTGCGCATATTCATACATGTCTCCCTTATTTGTAACATTCGTGACCAACTTGATCCAATCCACCATCGCCGTATCGGATGCTGGGTACTCTCCGGAAACTCATCGGATGGCTTTTCCTCCGTGATCAAGGTTTGGTGATGAGAAGAGCTTCGATCCTGCCATCTGATCTGATCGTGGTTAGCTTCATGATAGTGGTGATAGGGGGGATGTGCTGAGAGATGAAGACGATACAGATCGCCAACGCGATTGGGAATCCTCGTCGAAGTGAGAACTTTGGTACTCAATCTCGGCTCTGCAGACTCTACAGTGAGAGCTGGAGGCTCGTAGGGGACACCACTGATAAGTGTTGAGAACAGTCCCCCAGTATCACTGCGAAGTTATGGTGGCTATTTCTTCACCCCAAGTCAACCCTCATCCGTGAATACCCACCCAGGGGAACATCTCAAAAACCCTGAGTTATCCAGACATGCCTCCGTCATCTGTCAACTTTTCTCCGCGCGAAATGTAATCTGAGTTAACTCCTTCCCAAGTGGAGCAGGTGCCCAGGCTACTCAAACTATACCAGTGAACACCACTAGGAGGCGGACCACGGCACTACTTCTCAATCATACAACACTTACCATTATCCTCCGAGTCCTCAACCTCTTTCAAACCACACATTTGTTAAAGCTTTGTTATGGAGTGATAGATATGAGGGTGAGGTTTATGGGTCACGATGTATGAGATAACTGAGGTGCGGATGTATGAGTTCCTTACTATTGTTGTTGTACTAGTTAGGGTTGTGTTGTCAATATACAAAAAGGATTTCTTCATCTACAAGTGGGCCAGATCGCTTAGATCTGGCTAACGGCTTTCGCCATCCTCTTCCTTCTCCCCCGCATGGCATCACGTGCTATACAACTACTGCTCACCATGAAGTCCGAGGATGAAAAGCGTTAGATTACAACAACATCATCTCGCCTCAACGATCGATAAAGGCATCAGCCCAAAAGCAAATAGGAACTTGCCTCATTCATTACCGGCCATTACTTACTTCAAATTTACGACGCAACGTATACCCGCAAGGAGGAAATTAAGTCATAATATAAAAATATTGGGTTATGGTTTATTTGGGACTGTTGCTCTAATGGGGTTATACATCTTGAGGAAGGACAGGCGGTTGAGATGTGGAACGAGAGGGGGAATAGGTCTCTGAAGACCATGCTGGAACTAACATTTTCGAGGGGTTTTCAACTTTGGAACGTTTGTGGGCCCCAAGGCCAAGGTTTCGGTTCATAAGCCAGTAGGACTTCTATTGTCGATAAGTCAATGGCACTCCCCAGCGCCCTGGACGGCACAAAAGAAGTTGGGCTAAGCTGCTATACAGCAACCACGCTCTGTCAAGACTTTTCTGATATTTCAGCACGACCTTCGGGAAGGAGTTGTAAGGAGGCTAGAAAGGCAGAGTGTGAATTCTCCGAGGTATCCACAAGTCTGCAGCACCCAGCTGGCCAACCTCTTCGTACGCTTCAGGAGGGTTAGTATGTCTACGTATTTAGTCCTAATGTGTTACAGGCTGCGCCTATCTCCTAGTGACTGTCGCACGGACACTTATCATTATTACGTCATTAGCCTTGCTATCTAGAGAGATGTCCAACTTGGCCATACAAATACAGGGTTGCAACAAATATGGAAACAAGATATTGTTGCAGCAAGTCTCATATGGAATCATGGGCCGATACGACCCAGATTCGCTATGACGAGCCCACTCGGAATATCAAGGATATGATGTAGTAGAATAGATTGTGAGGTTAGCGCATTGGGAGTTGGGACACCTTAAGTAGCATCCCCTCGGTGGACAGTTCCGAGATGTATGTAGAAAATAGACAGTAATCGGCCACCATTCCTTTACTATATTGTTTTGTTGATCGCCCATCACATAATGTCGGTATTGTGAGAGCCCCGCAACCAGTGGTTTTTTGCAATTTTTCCCGGCTACCATACACCCGCAAATAGCCATCGTTTCGTTGGCTGGAGAGGGGAGATAATGAAGGGCAAAGGGCTCCTCTAAGTGTATGATCAAATGAGGACTTGTGAGGGGTAGTACTGTTCGATGGGAGCTATATGGGAGGCATAGGAGGGGATATACTACTGGTATAGGTATCCTTGGCCTGTAAGCAGAGAGGACCTGCATGTCCTACATAGCCATAGACCTAGATACAACAATAAATTGAAATAACAATAATAATAATAAAGAGGACTACTCTGCGCAGTAGGGATAAATTTCACGGAATAATAACAGGGGTAAGAATGATGGTTTACTATTAGCATACAAATCTTGCAGGCCTGAGTAGGGAAAAGTAACGTAACAGTGAACTACGAGGATGTATATAATAAAGCGTGGCCTCCAGTCGAGTTGCCTTTTTGACGCAACATCTTCTTAATTTTATTCTCATTCAAGATAACTGTTGGTATAAATGTCCTGACCTCACTTTCCAATGTTAGTCATAGATTAGTCATCGTTCATTATGAGTATTAGTATCTTTTTGTAGAATAGGAGAATAGACAAGATCCACCAACACAACCGCAGAAACGTGACATACAGTTTACGTTCTTTGCACCGTGTTTAAGTATCCCGACAATAACTCATCTCTTCCATGTCAAGACCGTTTCGAGCCCGTACTAGTATCAGGTCACGACGTGCCCTCTATCTCTTCCTGTGGAAGGCCTTGACCCCCTATTTACTCACACTTGTACCCTGTGGACAAATAGCATACACGCTCCTCGAGAATAAGCAGACTTTGATTCGGTTTGAGATATTACGATTTTGAGGTCCGGCTCTGTGTCGGCCAGGTCATCAGGTTTCAGCTCAATAGCAGGCTATGGGCAATATACTGGCAATTTTCGCTTGACGGAGAATGTTTGGCGTGGACACGCGGGATGTATTGCCTAGGCTTCGGAGGGTGCTTGCTACCTTTGGAGCTTTGCTGGCGAGAATGTTTGCATGCCACTTAAAAGATAGTTGTCAAAATAGATTTGGAGTCACCGGGTATATTATCGAGTGGGGTTTTCTGCGATTGAGAATTATTCAAATGTGATAGCTGGCATAGAATTATTATCCTTGTCTGCTCGGCGGCGTGAGAAGTGCTGCAGTTTAGGCTTATTAGAGTCGAATGTTATCCCCTCCCGCTGACCCCAAACTAGAGCCTCTTCCAAGCTCCCATTAGGGAGGTGCAGTTTTCTCGGAGTGACTTTCGGGTCTCAAGTAAAGCTACATCTTCGGCATAGCCAAATCTGCGGGAATAGTCCCCATCCTAAAAAAGGAGAGATATAGAACATAAGCAAACCTGGTGTTACAGGGGAGCCCTGAGGGAAACCGCGTTCTACTTGTTGTTGGGGACCAGTTTCACCGTCAAATCTTATTCGTACTGGACGACCAGTGGTAGAAAAGCCTACCTATCTGACGAGGTAGTCAGACCAGCCTTCATTAAGATGTCAAGGACTTCTTAGTGGTTTATCGGATAGAAAGATAGTGTGCAAGTGGAGACTGTAAGGGCATCTAAGGGGATGTCCCTAGCTTCAGCAGAGTTGATCAGGAGGTTCTCTGCGAAGATCGCTATCTTCTCAACGAGAGTGGTCGCAGGGGACTATGTAGGAAATCTTGGGTCCTTAACAAGAGGAGAGTCATAGGAGTTTTTGGATTTAGGCCATTTAGATATGTTTAAAATATCCTTGGCAGTGCTAGCTTTTTTAACTTAAGATAAAAAAAAATTGTTTTTTGTCTTTTTAACGACCTTGTGGTATTATTTTCTATCCTCTATGAAAACTTCTTCTATGTGGGGTCTCTTGGTGATCGACTTGTATTTCCGATAAGCAGTCCTACAGTATTTATTCCACCATGAGTTGCGCTTTCCGTGGCCTAGGGAGCATCGGGCTGGCTCAGAATATGCTGAACGGACGGATTCAGTAATTCTAAAGGCGAGTGTATCTAGAGAGGCTGAGTTTGAGGACGGAGGGAGTGGAGCCTATGATAGCTTGTGAGCCGATATGTCCTGTAGCTTTCGATGGCTATCTATGACGGCTGTTAAACCGAAAGATTCATGTAGCCTAAGCTGGCTAGCGTGGGAAATGACACAAAGGGAATCTTCGGGAAAGGTTTCGGAAGCTACGGAACTAAGGATATTCTCAGTGAATCTTTTAGAAACATACTGAAGGTTCATGAGGATGACAGGTGTACCGAGAACCTTCTAGGTAGCTGTCGAAGAGTCTCACTAATTCAGGTCACAGGGAGAATCATCTTGAAGGGCAGTAATTTAGAATGTATATAT